CAAAACCAGATATTTTTAAAGAGAACAAGTTCTTGTCCCCATGACTGCCCTGCACATCAGCAGTTTCCCAGCCATTGGTTGGTATCCCATGATGCTGCCCTACACAACCCTCGCACTCAAAAATGTTTTTGAAGCATATTTTAGAGGAAATGTAGGCAACTTGGAGAACCCCCACTCACCCTTCTCCTTATAAGGCCTCTTCAGACTCTCCTGGAATTTTGTTAGCTCAACAATGCAACAGTCACAAAGGCAAGGTGATGCTCAGTGAGAAAAATTAGCCAGGTGATCTCCAGTATCACTTCTACCACCTACCAGCTGTGTGACCTTGGGCAACACACTCAACTCTGAATTCTCTATTTCCTCCTCTGTACAAATGGCAATATTAATACCTACTTAAAATATATTCATTAAAAAATAAAATTTATTCATTAAACAAAATAATGGACGGGAAATTGTCTAGTACAGATCTTGGTACCTACTGGGTATCTGAAAAATATTTTCTTTCTCTCTCTCTCCTTCCCTTCTTTCTCTCCTTTTGCCAGAGTTTGTGCTAGGTGCTCCTGGAAATAAAAACACACGGATGACCTAGAACCTGCCCTTGAGATACTTGACCATAGTACAAGGCAGTACAGTGTTCTGCTAGAGGGGCAAGTGAGTTGCCTAGTAGAGCCCAGAGGAGGGAGGAATTGATTCCATATTGGGCAATTGAAGAAACCATGAAGGAGGAAATGGCTTTTCAGAAAGAACTTCATGAATAGGTAGGATTTCTCCACTTCTTTTCCCTTCCCTTCTCTTCCATTCTCCTTCTTCCTTCTTAACCAAGTATCGACCCAGAATTTTAAATGTCCAGAGGCAGGGAAGGCTCAAAGCACAGTCTGATTAAGACTCTGGCTCTGTGTCTTTCTGGTCCTACAGGTTGGCTCTCCCTCTTGTATTGGCTTTGTCCTCTGGGTGGATGGATACCAGAGAGCCACCCAGTGTCTCCTGCAAACACAATTCCCAGAAAAATGTCACATGTGCAAACAAATGTTTGCATACAATGTAGGGGTTCATAAACTCTCTGGAGCATCCGTTGGTCCCAGATCTAACAACTCTGAATGAAGGAGACAGCCCTGTAGATAGAGTGATGGCCATGGTACTCAACTCTTCCTTCCTTTTGAGGTATACTTAAAAGGGGAGTTCTCAGTTGCAATTAGGATAAGCTATCCTGAGTCCTTTCTTTAAAAGTGGGGTCCCAGAGTCAGACTTGCTTGGGTGAGGAAAGCAGGATTTTAGCAGGTAGTAATGAGGGACAAAGGTAGTCCTGGCTGAGGAAATGGTGTGAGCATAGAAAGGCACTGTGACAGGTGAGCTTAGGGCTATTTGGAGAAGGTGAGTAGACAGGTGTGACTCCATCAGGGAGAGTCCCAGTGCTGACTTAGAGCCCCACTGGGCACAGCTTGAGGGGTAGGAGTGGACTTTCTCAGTCCAGGCAGTGGAATCACTGAACTGTTACATAGTGTTTATCCTAGCTGTAACTCTACACATTCCATGTGATTATTTGATTCCTGCTTGCCTCCTGCACCGGTCTACCTTCTCAGATGAGCACAGGCACTGTGTCTCTTTCTGCTCCCCTCTGTACCCCCAGCCCTGGTTGAGGGCCTATGATCTAATAATGTTCAATACATATTAGGGAAAAGAACAGGTGGACGAATGGTTTCTGAGTGGGGAGAGACACGTCTGGGTCACTGTTGTTCACACGTGGGAGCTTTGGTATTTGATTCTATTCTCCTTCCTTGTTCCCTTCTTTGCTCATTGGTGTTTATCACACAGGGGTAGCAACTGGCATCTTATCAGCCAGGCCTTCCTCGGTCTGGACAGATCAGACCATCTGAGTTTTCCAGTGAAGTGTGCAAATGACCCTCGGCATCTGCGAAGCCCTTGTCCTGTGCACACACTATTTGACCGGAGGCAACTTGAAATAATGTAAAAACATGCATTTTTGGACTGAGAAAGATTATTTCAAATTTTAGCTCTGCCTCTCATTGTAAGTCTCTGAGGAAATTACCTCACTTCTCTGAATCTGTTCCTCATCTATAAAACAGCAGTGATAATAAATATCTACTTTATAGTGCTGTTGTGTTAAATGAGCTGGTTAGGCTGGCTCCTAGTATGTGCACTTTTTTTTTTTTTACATTTTATTTTATTTTCTCATTGTGTACTTGAAAATCACAAGAAAGTATTTATTTTATTTTTTCCTGATTTTAAAAGCAACTTCATGCTCAGGGTAGAAAACTTGGTCTGTACAGCAAGGTCTAAAAAACAAATTACTGTAATAACTTTATCTACAAAACTCTATTGAAATAACCACTATTAGCATTTTGATGTATTCCCTTCTAGTATTTTCTGTACTTGTGAGAAATGTCATTTATTTTAAATAGATAATTCCTCCACATGGCACCCAATTGGGGTACAAAAAGGTAAACAGTGAGAAGTAATTCTCCCTGTCTACCCTCACTCCGCCCACCAGTTCCACTTCCCAGAGGCAACCTTGTTACCAGGTTCTTAGGGGGCCTCCCAGGGCCAGACTACATATTTAGAAAATCTCTTTGATTTTCATATCATCTTTTTCTCAGGCAAATGCTGGCAAGGCGTACCTGCCATTCTGCTCTGGAGGCTGCCGTCTAAGTGAGTTCCCTTTCAGCCCTCATGATGTCTCTGTGGGCAGAGCCGCAGAGGGCTCTGGTTACAGCTTCTGAGGGCTCAGCGAGCCTTGGTCTCGGTTTTATATTTTTACTCTTTGAACTGAAAATCTGCAAACAACTAAACAGGTGTTAGATTTCTCAGTCTCAACTGTTTCCTCAGTTGCTCATGCGAGGAGCAGATCTGCAGGCCGTTGGGGCCAGCTCACAGGGTGGTCTGAAGCAGAATTTAGGCGTTCTGCAACATTGACCATCAGGTCAGTGTTTTCTGAATTGACAATTGAAAAGTGTGGTCTGACAGGGTAAGATAATATTTTGCAATTGGGATTGATCCCCCCATATTAGGGACGTGTGCCCCCTAGAATGCTCTGGAGTGAAGAACAAAGCCTAAGTCAATATGGTCCACCCTCAGACCAGTCCTGTCCCCTCCCTTCAGGACCCATAACCCTACCACCCCCAGCTCCTGTCATTAGAGTTTCTCCTCTGCAGGCTGCACCCTCCCACTTGGTCAGGCCTGCCCATCTGTACTCTCAGTAGGCCCCGTCTTCAGACCACCCCTCCCCAACAGGCCCTGTCCCCTCAGCCTCCCTCTTTCCATCCTTCTTCTAACTGATCAAACCAAGAACATTGACAACTTGACCCTCTAAAGGGCCCAGTGGACAAGGAGGGAAGGTAGGAAGTTAAACTCTTTCAAAGCTGAGCTCCAGAGAGCAGCAAATAGAATGGACAGGTGCATTTGAGACATCTCATCTGTAAAATGAGTATTAAATAATATGATGAATACAAAAGGGCTTTGTAAGTTGTAAAGTGCTATATACGCATATGGGACTCATATTCTTATGAAGATGATGATAATTTAAAAATACGTCATGGAAGCCAATTTTACAAATTAATTTTTTATTACAAAAGTGTTACTTATTCATTTTAGAAGATTTAAAAAGTATATAAATAAACAAAATAAGAAAAAAAAATCTCGGAACTTCCCTGGCAGTCCAGTGGTTAAGACTCCATGATTCCAATGAAGGGGGCACAGATTCAATCCCTGGTCGGGGAACTGAGATCCCACATGCTGCACTGCTCGGCCAAATAAATAAATAAAAGAAAAAAGGAAAAAAAAGAAAAAAAAATCTCATAGTGTTATTACAGAGTGTGGTGCCTTGTATTATTTATACAGTATATTCCATCTATTCCTATGGGACTGTTTCTGTGGGAGGATTATTGTTGCCTTGACAACAAATTTTGCCCCGTGACTTACTCTGGCCAGTTAAGTGTGAGTGGAAATGGCATGTGCCACCTCTCAGCAAAAGTTTTAAGAGCCTTTGTGTAGTTTGCCATCTTTTTTCTCCTTCTGTCACAAAACTGGCATGTCAAGAGCTTTTCCATCATCCTTGGTCTTGGACTGAAGCCCTGTGAGCCCTGTAATGTGAGTGAGAAATAACATTTATTGTTGTGAGCCCGTGAGATTTGAGGGTTGTTTGTTACTGCAGCATAATTTGTCCCAAGATACCTGATACACAGAGATTAACAACTGTTAATATTTGGGTTTATATCCTTCAGTCTTTTTTTATGCCTATATTCAATATATATTTTTCTTTATAAAAAGAGGATCATAATGTATGTATGATTTTGTGAAGTGCCTTCTCATTTCACCTGAAAATATTTCAGTATATAGCTCCAAAAGATGAGTTTTCTTTAAGCAAAACCACAACACGGTTACCACACTTACAATTAATAATAATTGCCTCATATCACCAAATGTTGGTCACTGTAAACATTTCTCTTCTAAAATTTTGTTTAAGTCAGGGATCCAAATAAGCTGCATACTTTGTAGTAGGTTGATATATCTCTTAAATCTCTTTTTGTGCTCCGGCTCTCCCTCGCTGCCCCACCCCCCTTTTCCTCTTTCCCCTTTTGATGTATTTGTTGAAGAAACCCAACTGGTTGCTCTGTAGCGTTTCCCACAGTCTGGGTTTTGCTAATTGTATTCACGTGGTGTCATTTAACATGTTCCTCTTTCCCCTATGTTTCCTGTAAGTTGCTGATTAAATCTAGACACTTGATCAAGATTCAGTGAATGGATTTTTCAACTCAATACCTTATGAACATTTTCCATGTCATTTACTATTCTTCTACAACATGCTTTCTTAATGACCATACAGCTGTCAAAAATATGAATATATTTTCATTTATTTAGCTAGTCCTCTACTTTGGGTTACTAAGGTTGTTTCTAAATTTTTGCTACTACACACAACTCACTGATAAACCTCCTTGTGGACTAGTCATTTTCTGGCCTGATTTGCTGCCCTTCTGTTCTCTTAGTTCCTGCGGATGGTGGATGCCTGTGCGAGCTTCCTCACAGAAGCCTTGAACCCAGAAAACTGTGTTGGAATACTGAGGCTGGCAGACACACATTCCTTGGACAGTCTAAAGAAGCAGGTTCAAAGTTACATCATCCAGAACTTTGTGCAGATCCTGAACTCCGAAGAGTTCCTTGAACTTCCTGTGGATACCCTGTACCACATCTTGAAGAGCGATGACCTTTATGTGACAGAAGAGTCTCAGGTGTTTGAGACTGTGATGAGCTGGGTCAGGCACAAACAGTCAGAACGACTCTGCTTGCTCCCCTATGTCCTGGAGAACGTGCGCTTGCCACTTCTGGACCCATGGTACTTTGTGGAGATGGTGGAAGCGGATCCTCTCATCAGACAATGCCCAGAGGTCTTCCCGCTGCTACAGGAAGCCAGGATGTACCACCTTTCTGGCAATGAGGTGAGTTGATGATGAGAGATGCCGTATATAACCAGCGAAGTGAAGGAATTAGCAGACCTCCCAGAGATACAGGTGAGACTGGCTCACAAATCATTAGGGCATCAAGAAGTAGATGCTGTAGATGTTTATAGTTTGAGTCAGGCAGTTCCAGAAGCCCTGGATCTCTGATCTGTAAAATGCCGATAATACTACATGGTAGACAGCTACTGAGAGAATTAGGTGAGATCTGGAAATCACCCAGCACCATGGCTGGCACATCTTTCCCCTTTCCGGTTGTGTAAGGGCGGGAGTTTGGTGGGGGAGACACACACATGAAGGGAGTGTGCCCTGTCCAGTCGCCATTCCACAGGGCTGCTGCTTTCCCAGTTTGTCCACTCTGGGGAAACCTTGAGACTCTTATATCTCCCCTGACATTACCTAGGTTCAGACTCTCATTATTTCCTTCCTGAACCTCTGAGAATTCCTCAAAACTCAGCTTTCTGCCCCCAATCTGGCCGCCCTGCAATTCATTCATCAGCTGGGTGATCTAAAACTCAAGCCTAATCATTTCACTCCTGGGCTTAGCCTCTTCACTGGCTCCCCACCACTTTCAGGATAAAGCCCACACTTCTGCCTAAACTCTCTGAGCCTGGTCTCTTGCTCGCTGCTCTAGTGTCATCTGCAACCTCTCTCTCCTGCTACAGTCTGAGTGTACTGCTTGTAATTCCCCAAAGCGGACACGCTTTTTCAGCCTTCAGGCTAATGCAGGTGCGGCTCAAATGACTTTTTCCTCTTCTTCATCTAGTTAACTTCTGCTCCAGCTTCAAAACTCAGTTTAAGCATCACCTTCTCCAGAGGCCTCTGTCAGTCTCATAGCACTGGAGCATTGCTCTGTCATAGCACCAACCACTGCATGTCAACCGTTGAATTCCTCATCTGTAAATATCTCTAGACAGGGAGGTTGTTATGGTAGGAAATATGTCTTATTGGACTTTTCATCCAGACCTTAGGAGAGTCCTTGGTATATAGCAAGGGATTGGTTAATGTTTGTTGAATGAGTAAATGCGTACCAAGATAGTGAATAAACATATCATTTGTATCTACCTGGTTCTCCTTAACAATTCCTGAAGAAATATTATATTCAGAACTTTATAAAGACAAGAATAGGCTTAGTGGGGAGGAACAAAATAATCATTAAGTAACGATAGAGGGGCAGTTTGTTACGTTTGTACACATGAACAGCCACACGTGTATACCACTATACAATGGTTCTGAGGTTGGCTACCAAGCCTTCTTCATTGGGCCATTGGTAGAAATATTAGCCAAAATAGTTTAGGAATTGTCTTTCAGAGGCCCCTTGGGAGCCCCTTCTTTTCTGTCTGTCCTTTTCTAGTTCTGTGTTGTCCTCAGATCCATTGTCACTTATTCACTCTGCAAACACATCCTTAAATATTTGGTAGAATTTATCAGTGATGCTATCAGAACCAGAAGGAATTTTTTGTGTATGTGAGAAGGTTTTAAACTTCAAACTACAAATTGTATTTCTTTAATAGCTATATAGATACAGGAGGCTATTCACATTATCTATTTCTTCTAGAATGAGCTTTGGTAGTTTGTATACTTCAAAGAATTTTCCATTTCATAGAATTTGCTGAATTTATTGGCATAAAGTTGTTCACAGTAGTCCCTTATTATCCTTTTTAATATCTGTAGAATCTGTAGTGATGTTATAGCTCTCATTCCAGATATTGGTAATTTGTGTCTCCTTTTTTCTCCTGATCAGTCTGGTTAGAGGTTTATCAATTTCATTGATTTTCTCAAAGAACCAGCTTCTGGTTTCACTTGACTTTCTCTACAGTCTTTACATTTTCTATTCCATTTATTTGTACCTTAATCTTGACTACTTTCTTCTGCTTACTTCAGGTTGAATTTTCTCTTCCTTTTCTAGTTTTTTAGGGTAGAAATAAAGGTCACTAATTTGAGATTTTTTTTTCTAATATTGCCATTAGTGTTATAATTTCATATGCTGTACTTTCATTCTTCACAAATAAATCCTGAACACCAACTATATGCCAGACATGGCACCAAGCACCACAAAACAGTCTCTACCTTTCTAAACTTATGGTCTTTCAGAGAAGACAGGACACTAAGCAAATGAAGGGTGATAAGCAGACTGATAGAGGAAGACCAGATAACCACAAGGGTCCTATGCTGGATATGTGGGTCACTGGCAGTTGGCTCAGCACTGGGAAAGCCCTCATATTCCTGAAGACAAGATCAATCTCTGCAACTGCTCTCAGTTCAGTATTTAAAGTACAATCTTGGGGCTTCTCTGGTGGCGCAGTGGTTAAGAATCCACCTGCCAATGCAGGGGACATGGGTTCGAGCCCTGGTCCGGGAAGATCCCACATGCCGTGGAGCAACTAAGCCCATGCGCCGCATCTACTGAGCCCGCGAGCCACAACAACTGAAGCCCGCGCATCTAGAGCTTGTGCTCCGCAACAAGAGAAGCCACCGCAATGAGAAGCCTGCGCACCGCAACAAAGAGTAGCCTCTGCTCGACGCAACTGGAGAAAGCCCACGCACAGCAACAAAGACCCAACACAGCCAAAAGTAAATAAAATAAAATAAATAAATTTTTTTAAAAACTAAAAAAAAAAAACCCAAAGTATAGGGTCTTGATCAACTGTACTTTCAACATTCTTGCTATTTTCGTTTCTGCTTCCCATTTCCTAACTCCCTGAAATGCAGGTGATAAAGGCTTTCCTCTTATATAAAATGTCCCTACTATGTCTTCTGCAAAACTGCTGCTATGAAATATCTGCTCTGCCTTTTGTATGTGCAATGGGGTGGGGATGGGGGAGTGGGATTATAAGCTTTGGACATAGGAGGAGAGAGAATTCTGATAACTAGAAAATGTCAAGAACTTGAGCTCCCGGTCAGGCAGATCTGGGCTTTAATCTTGACTGCACAATTTACCTACAGTGTGACCTTGGGCAAGCTACTTAGCTGCTGTAAGGCTCAGTCCTTGTAACATGGGGAAAACAATATCTACCAACTGATAGAATTGTTCTGAGAATGAAATAAGATAATGAATGAGATGTGCTAGCACAGTGTCTGGCATATGTTAAGTGCCCCAGAAATAAAGACTGTTCCTATTCTCACTCAGTTCTTTATGGTACTCTATCTCCCACAATCAAGCATTTTCTTTCTCTGAGGCTAAAATCTCTCTTTTCATTGTCTCCTAGTTTTTTTCTGCCTTATTGTCCCAAATCCTGCTCAGGCCTTTTTCTCATCCTCATTTTATAGTCTAGGTAACTGAACCAACCAAACATTGTGATCTCTGAGTTGTGTCTCATTGCTAGTTGATTCCCTGAAACTCCCAGCCTTCTCGCTGCTTGTGTGATCTTGGCTTTATTCCTAATGACACTAGTGTAAGCCTGGAGGATACTCTGTGAACACATTTCTCCTCCTAACCTTCCTTTCCCAAACTTTAACCCTGCTCGTCCTATCATTATCTCTCCATTTTAACCTTGTCCCTCCTCTGAGCTCATGGAGGTGGTAACAGAAGGAAGTTTTAGAACCCTAAAAGCAAATGTCAACTTACATTTGATTTAGGAGTAGTAGCTGGTACCTTCCTTGGGAGAGGTCTTTTGGGGCAGAGAAAGTTACCCCTTCATTTCATTGCCTCCTGAGTCTCCAGGGACCAACTTGATCTATACCAAAGGCTGCTCTGATATGTGTGCTGTCAGGAGGACCTACTCCTGAGGGCAGCGGGGCAGAAGCTCACCCTGAGGAGCTTTATCCAAGCAGTTTGGTCACTTCTGTTTGGTGCTCTCAGATAGGTTCTTTGGACAACGAGTAGTCAGTAAGGGGAAACGTTTTTGCTCTACTTCTAACAATCTGAAAATAAACTGTGTAGGCCTGATGGTTGCGTGTGATTCTTTGGCAAACACTTACTTCCGTGTGTCTGCAACAAACTTGCCCATCTCTGACTTCAGATTGGCGTTTGTCATGCCTTTGGGGTTAATATTTTGCAAAACGTAGCTGAACTTACAATTTGGTAATGGTGCCACCATCTGGCAGTCCTGTGGTTCTGAGTTACAAGGCAGGTCTCAATACCCAGCCAGTCCCATCAACTAGATGATTGTATTAGTTATCTATTGCTGTGCAACAAATTATCCCCAAACAGCTGTTTCAAACAACAAACATTTATTATCTCACAGTTTGCAGGAATCTGGGAGTGATGCAGCTGGGTGATTCTGGCGCAGGGTCTCTTCTGAAGTTGCAGTCAATCTGTTGGCTGGGGCTGCAGTTAGTCATCTCAAAGCTCAAAGAGGGCTGGAGGATCCACTTGCAAGTTCCCTTGCAGGATTGTTGACAGAAGTCACTTCCTTGCTGGCTGTTGGCTGGAAGCCTCAGCTTCTTGCTACTTGGGCTTCTCCATTGCAGCTGTCTTTCTTTAGAGCAAATGACCCAAGAAGGACTGAGAGAGCTGTCAAGATGGAAGCTGTAGTGCCTTCATAACCTAATTTCAGAAGTGGTATACCAACACTACTGTATTCTATTGGCATAGAGATCAACCCAGGAACAATGTGGAGGGAACAACATAGGACGTAAATGCCAGGAGGTGGGGATTGCTGGGGGCCATTGTGGAAGCTGGTTACCACAATGATCTAGACTGGAAAAAAAAGTCTTTATCAGGTCCTGGGTTAACTAACTTGCCCATTCATTCATTCATTCATTCAGCCAGCATTTATGGAAACCCACAGGCACTGTTCTTGGTGCTGAGGATCCATTGGAGAAAAGGGCTATCCCTGCCATCAGGGACATTAGAATAAATTACATGAGGGTGAAAAGCGCTGTGATAGGGAAATTCAGGACTGTGGGAACAGGTGTGGAAAGGCAAGAATGGCTTCCTGGAGGAAAGAACAAAATGACATTGAAAACAATGTCAAGTGGCTTACAGGGTAAGTGGTTGGGAAGGTAGTGTGGGCAATCGAGGACAGATATTATGGGGAGATGCAGACAGCAGGCAGGAATGCAGGCTTCAGTCAGTGGGAGCAGAGTCTTCCACAGGCCAGGACTCAGGACCGGGATGCCAGCCCTGGGAGTCAGGAGTAAGATCATGGCTGGTTTGGTCCCCTGCTAGTCAGCAGGCTGTTGATGCAGGAGAGCAGACACTGTGAATAAGATGGGGGGGGGGGGGCGCTTCAGAGAGGAGGCTGAGGCTTGGCTCTCAGAACCAGAGTAAGGGTCACAGGGAACCAGTTCTGAGAAGCTAGTGCTGTCCTCTAAGCATTGCCCTATAATCCCTAAATCCTCCCTGCAAGAGGACCCGATTGGTGCTAGAGGTTGTCCCTCAGCTGTGGGAAGGAAGGTTTAGAGGCTGGAGGGAGAAATCTCAGATCGGCCAAGTTTGTCTGTGGTGCCAACTCATTGCTCATTCCTCTCCTACCAGCTTGGTATTCTCACAGTGCCTCCAAGTTCTCGGGACCACCCCTTCCACCCTTATCCCAGCCGGCCTTTCCACTGTCAGTGCCCTCGGTCTCAGCCCATTGCCCAGGATTTAAACTGCCACACACCTCCACTCCTTTCTGCTGACCCATAAAGGAGAGTCCTGCCACATACTTGATGGCCATGGTCTGGCCTCAATAACTGAGGATGCAGCATTTACTGTATCTGACTATTGGCACAGAAAAACAAAGTCTCTTCTGGGAAAGTAGAGGTTGGGTGTTGGCTGATCTGATTACATGTGACTATTGATTGGATTCACCACTTGTGGACTCAGGTAAACTGTTTGTCACCATCTGTGGGCAAGATTGAAGTTCCATAATCCATATTAGGTCAGCTGAACCTTGTAGGAAAGAGTAGCTGCTTTGGCCACGTGGGAAATAGGTGCTGCCGCCTCTCTGTCTCCCATCAGTACCCCTGTAGAACCTTCCCCATCAAGCCCAGGGATGGCTGGAACCAGGAGGAGGGCAGCTCTCCCTTTTCATTAATTACATCAATATGACATCTCCCACCACTCCTACTGCCGTGACTAGCTGTGGAGGGCCATGCGTGTGCCAGGTGCTCTGCTCAGCTCTCTACATCACAACCTCATGAATGCTCACAGTGGCATGGTAGCATAGGAATGATCACAGGAATTTACAGAGATTGTGTTGCTTCTCCAAGGTCACATGGCCATCGGTGGTGGAACCAGGATGGAACTCTGGTGTATTTGACTCCAAACCTCTGCTCTTTCAGCTGGGTTCAGATATCTGTGGTATGGATTTCTTTGCTTGTTCAAGGCTCTGAAGGGTCATATGCTTGATGTTGGGACCCAGTCCCCAAACCTCCTTGGACACATCCTTGCTCCCTTTTGGTTCTTTTCTCCTAAGTCTCTGGATGCTCTTATGTGCCCTCAGGACTTCTCTTCCAGAAAAGGCCTGGTAGCGAGCAAAGTCTGGGATATCATCAAGAAACTGAAACCAGGGGGGAGTGGAAGGTGGCCAGAAATGAAATTCCAGGATTCAGTGCTTCTGACCAAGCAAGAGGGAAGAGGCAGGAAAGTGCATTTGATGGTAGACAGACCTGAACTTCTTAAAAAGTAGCAAAATCTACAACCGATAACCTTTATTGAGTACCTACTATACATCAGGCCCTGGGCCAAGCACACTAAATATATTATCTCATTTAATCCTCATGACAAACCTATGAGGTTGTTACCACTAAAATTTCCATTATACAGAAGAAAAACCTGAGGCCCAAGGAGGTGAAGTCACATGGTCCTATGGTGGCAGAGTTGGGAATTGGGCTCTGCTCCTCTGGCTCCACAGCCTGAGCTCTGAACCACTGTACCATTCTGCCTTTTTGTACTCCCATTGATTTTCCAGATCATTTCGGAGCGCACCAAGCCCAGGATGCATGAGTTCCAGTCTGAGGTGTTCATGATCATCGGTGGCTGCACGAAGGATGAACGGTTTGTGGCGGAGGTAACCTGCCTGGATCCCCTGAGGCGCAGCCGCCTGGAGGTGGCCAAGCTCCCCATGACAGAGCACGAGCTGGACAGTGAGAATAAGAAGTGGGTGGAGTTTGCATGCGTGACATTAAAAAATGAGGTCTACATCTCAGGTAAGCAGAAGCCATGTGATGCCAAAGCCAGCCCCCAAGGCACTACATGTTTTCCTGAGTGAGAGACAGGCAACCATCCCAGAAGAATTACTGTGGATGGCACTGATCTAGCACTAACTGGGTCAGGATATGGAAACCGGGCACTCAGATGGTCTTATCATGGAGAGTGAACCCTAATCCTTGAGCAGTATTGTAGTAGGAACTGGAGGAGCAGGCAGATAGGACTTCCTTCATGGAAAAGGAAGAAGGAAAGTGGTACTAGAGTTTATTCGGTGTCTGCTATAGGCATAGGACACTGAGCTAGCCACTGGGAATACAGTAATGGATAAAAATATCTGCTCTTCCCCCCAAATCTGACCTCTCCCCTCAAGTTTATTAGGTCTTACTTTTAGATGCTCCAATAGCATCCAGTACTTTTTCATTTCTTACTTCTAAGTTGTTTGCTTAATTGTTTTTAACTGCTCTATGCCTGTTTCCCATTAGTCCTTAAATTCCATGAATCAACACTGTATTCCCAATACCTAGCGCTGTGTCTGGCCATAGTAAATGCTCAATAAATATTAATTAAATGATGTAATCTCTACCATCTTTACAGCATAGTAGATGAATTTACTCTTTGGTAGCAATTAATTATTGCCTCTCACATCAACTCTATAAGGTAGGTGATTTTAATCTCCGGATTACAAATGGAGAAAACCGAGGCTCAGAAAAGTATGGAACTTACCTAAAGTCACACACTGGTAAGTGTCAGGCAGGATTCCAATCCATGTTCTCTGAGTCTCATGCTCTCCCATGACATTAAAAGCCACCTAGCTCTTCTTGCAGCACCAAGGGAAAAGACAAACATCCCTTCCCTTCTCTTGGAGGTTTTCTTTAATCTGAACTTGTTTTGGAAAGAGCTTATTTCCAGAGCTGGTCTCCTCCAAGATAAAGGGCAGGTCAGTTCTTCTTTGAGTCTATTAATACCACAGACTAGGGTTTAGCTTTCTTTTGTCTTACAGAAACATTTTTTAATTGTTGTAGAAGATTTAAGCAATACAGGGAGTGTAAAGTAAAATATGGTAGCTTCTCTGTGCCATCACAATCCTACATGTTTTAATTTTTTTTTTTTTACAAAAATGGTTTTATATTGTCTTAGAGTAAGTAATGCCAGCTGCTGTAACAAACCCTGACTCTCAATGAATCACCAGAGAAGTATGTGTGGGTTGGGGGAGAGCACCTGCTCCACTCAGTCATTCAGGGACCTAGGCTCCTTCCATCTCATGATGAGGCTGTTTCCAGACGTGACCTTCAAGCTTGATGCATTTCGGGAAGAGAGAGAAACCCAACAAGTTGAAAAGACACACCAGCTCACAACAGCCTCGGCCTGGACATGAGGCATCAGTTCTGCTCACATTCTATTGGCAAGAACCAGCCACATGCCCTCCCTGCACCCCCGCTCCCCATGCAGTGGGGCTGGGAAATGTAGTTTAGCCGTGTGCCCAGGAGGAAAAGGCAGGTTTGGTAATCATGGTCAGTCTTTGCCACATACACTACACATAGTGTTTTATTCTACAACTTGTCTTTTGTCCGTCTTCAATTTGTTGTTGTCTTTTAAAAAATGATACAGGCTGCTAACACATATATATGGAATCTAAAAAAAAAAAAAAAGGTCATGAAGAACCTAGGGGAAAGATGGGAATAAAGACACAGACCTACTAAAGAATGGACTTGAGGACACGGGGAGGGGGAAGGGTAAGCTGGGACGAAGTGAGAGAGTGGCACGGACATATATACACTACCAAACGTAAAATAGATAGCTAGTGGGAAGCAGCGGCATAGCACAGGGAGATCAGCTCGGTGCTTTGTGACCACCTAGAGGGGTGGGATAGGGAGGGTGGGAGGGAGGGAGACGCAAGAGGGAGGAGATATGGGAATATATGCATATGTATAGCTGATTCACTTTGTTATAAAGCAGAAACTAACACACCATTGTAAATCAATTATACTCCAATAAAAATGTTAAAAAAATAAAAATGATACAGGCGATACATGAAAGCATACTTGTTGTACTAAATCAACAGAAATGTGTACTCAACAAACAATCTGTTCTGGACATCATTACATGTTGGTATAATTGATCTACTACATGTGTTAAGCAATGTAATACATGTAAAGTACAGCACAATCCCAAGCACGTGGGGAGAGCTCAGCAGTGTTAGTCGTCATTTATCATTACTGCGAGGACTGTTATTACTGCTCATTTCACCAGCTTCAGGGCTGTCTATGGAATGAATGAACCATAATTTTTTTCAGCTTTTATTTTCCCACTGAAAAAAATACCGCAATAGGCATTTTCATACATATATATTTATGAACTTGCGCTGATATATGGAGAGATTCCTGGAAGTGGTCATAAGATGTGTAAATTTAGAGTTTTTGTAGATATTGCTAAATTGTCCTCCAGAAAGTTTGTACCAATTTACAGTTCAACCAATGATGAATGTCAGTGCCCATTTTCTACATCCTTGTTAACATTTTTTATTATCAATTACATTTTTAATAGACTTGATTGTGTAAATTTACACTCTTAGATCGTTAATGAGGTTGAATATATTTTCATATATTTATTAGCTAAACGTATCTGTTTTTTAAAAATGATCTGTTCCTACCCTTTGTTTTTCTATTGGTTGTCTTTTCCTTATTAATTTTTTGGAGTTCTTATTATATCTCCTTTGCTATTTGTATTACAAACACTTTCTCCCAGACAGTGGGGTTGTCTTTTAACTTTGATTTATATTTTATATAGTAACTTTCTTTTCTATATGTTCTAGGTTTCTTGTCATGCTTAGAAAACCCCTCCCCACCCCAAGATCATTAACATCTTCTCCTATATATTCTCCAGTTACTTCTATAGCATTTACATTTAAATTTTAAGTATAATGTGAAATAGGGATCTAAATTTTTCTCTAAACAGATAGCCAATTGTTCTAATGCCATTTATTTAATAATCTCTATATCTTTTAGTCTGTTTCTGTACCTTGTTTTTATTTGATCCGTTTGTCTTATACTAGTAGCACATTATTTTTATTATCACAGCTTTTTAGTATATTTTGATATTTGCTAGGGAGAGCTCTCTCATTCCTTCTTCTTTTTCAAAAGTTTCTTAGAAATGTTCCCAAATCTACTCTTCCAAATGAAGCTTAGAATGGTCACTTCATGTCCTGAAATCCATGAAAAGCCCTGAAGGCACCTAATATATAGGTTAACTTGGGGAGGGTTGACATCTTTGCAATAACCTGTCTTATCATCTGTGCACATGACATGCCTGCCCAGTTAATCAGGTCTTCTTTTACATCCTGAAGTAAAAAAAATTGTCATTTTTTTCCCTTTTTAATAAAGTTTGCATACATTTCTTTGAAAGTGTATAGTTATTTTATAATTTTGGACACTACCTGAATGGGATCAATATCACAGTGTTTTGAATAGAGACCTCTAAGAGGTATACAGCACCCCTCCCCCAGAATGGTTAAACCATATGAACAAAAAGATAACAGGAGAGGATGAAGCTCAGTCTCCCTAGCAGCCAGGGGAAACCAAACTATGGCATCATTTTTCTCCCTCAGGCTGTAAAACAAAACAAACCAACCAAAAAAACCTTCCTAATATCCGCTGTGGGTGGGGTATGGGGAAAAGTCAACCAGGACAGCTTTGGAAGGTTCTTTGGTAGCACCTGTAAAAATTCAAGGTGGGCACACCATTGACCTAGGAATCCCACTTCTGGGCTCCACCCTTGAGAAACACTTACCCGTGACACAGAGCGTCATTAATGATATTCATTTCCACACTGGTGCACATTTTAGTCTGAAAGGTACATCCTTTGTTTTAGGTAGTTGGTAGTACTCTGTGCTGATGGGGAAATGGAAACACAAAGTCATTAAAATATTTTATTAAAGTCACCAGAAAAGTCAGCTCTCCTTTGTCCTGGTCTCTCTCCCTAACGGAATTGCATATTTTCTATCTATTGTCTTGAAAAAATGTTTTAGCAGCTCACTCTCAGGTGATCTGGGGTGAGCATCTCATTCTGTTCCAATAGAAGTTGTTTCAAAGTAAGGACAAACCTCACTTATGTTTTTATAGAGATCAGAGTTATGAACCAAGAGAATTTTGTAAGATTTCATGGTGATTTCCCAGGTTTGTATTTGTTTGAATAAATAAGCAAACAGAGAACTTAAGCTGGTTTCTCATTTGCCCGCTGGTCAAGGCCCTACTATCCCCACCTGCAATCGTCCAACTTTACCTGTCCTGCCTGACTTCCTGCCCCTGAGCCTCACAAACACGGGAGTCCAGGCTCCTGTTGGTCCCCACTCACCTAGGCAGACTTGGGTGCTACTCCCCTGAAGCCTTCTCTGGACCTAGCTCACGGAGCCTCCTCTTCTCTGAATTCTCACAGCACGGAGGTGACACAGGGCACAGCCCAGTGCGTGATCCACCCCAGGCTTACGCTGTGTCTCCCTGTCACCCTGTGCAGGCTCTGTCCTGGCAACCACACTGCGTGCACCTTCATGATTTCTTTTGTCTGGGGGGATGGGGCAGGGGTTGGTGCTCGTCTGGGGATTTAACACTCTGGGCCAGTGGGGAATTATGGGAGAAGCTGCATTTCTGACATATCAGTGGTTTCTTAAATGCTCTCTATGTCTCCTAGGTGGCAAAGAAACACAGCATGATGTTTGGAAATATAATTCTTCAATCAACAAGTGGATTCAAATTGAGTATTTGAACATAGGCCGCTGGAGGCATAAGATGGTGGTGCTCGGGGGCAAGGTCTATGTGATCGGAGGTTTCGATGGCTTGCAGAGGATCAACAATGTGGAGACCTATGACCCCTTCCACAACTGCTGGTCAGAGGTATAGATTATTTCTATGAGTAACTCTGTGTTATTGCTTCAAAGCTTAAAAAAAAAAATTGGTATCTGCCAATGTAGGTATACGGCTTTCTGATCTCCCTGCTCCCACTGAGAACATTTTCAGTGGCTCTGAGCTTCCCTCCTCATAGGAGCCATCGAGTCAGCATTGCTGATCAGGTCACGGAAATGATTTCCTTCCAGGTGGGGGAGCTCTATGTGGGTACCTGTCCTATCCTGGCCAGAACCCCAGATGTAGACGGGAGGCTTGATCCTGTCTTGGTCTGCATGTCTTGGCCTAGAGTCTCTGTCTCCTCCGATGCCATCTGCCCTTGTCTTCTCCACACTGGGCATACCAGGATCTCTTGACTACACTGTTTGTTGAATCCAGGGTCATTTGGTAGTATTTAGAAGTCAGCCCTTATTTATTTACCTATTAGTGATGAACCATTTGCGTGCCTTCAAACAAGACTTTAGCAATGCAATCTCAGGTATATATCATACTCAAGAAAAGGCAAAGCATTGCTCATCGATGGGCATAAAGTTTCCAATATGCAAGATGAACCAGCTCTGGAGATCTGCCATACAACATTGTGCCTATAGATAACAATACTGTATTTTACACTTTAAAATGTGTGAAGAGGGTAGATCTCATGTTAAGTATCCTTACCCCCACCCAACACACACACAAAGGTAAGGTGACCTCACTTCCTGTACTTCCAGATTATTCCCAATTTCAAATTTTCTTTCTCCTTATCAGATTATATGTCAGAGCATGTTCCAGCTTTGGGGTGTGTGAAACGTGGTCATCACAGGCACAAGCAAAGGTAGACAGGTCATGATGGCATCCAGCCAAGATCTGTTAACCTGGAAAGAACTTTATGGGGAGCCCTTAACATTTATAAGGCTGTGCCCAAGAACTTCTCAGTTTAAGTCCCATCACAAAGTTGCTCCATGACCCAAGAGGGTTATGTTAATGGATAAGAGACTCTTAAAAGTCCCCTTTAGTGCCCTGGGGTTCACAGGATGGAAACACAAGTCTGGCTTAACCCTCAGATCTGTATGTTGCCCCAGAGTGGGAGAATATGTGTACCTGTGGCCACCTGAAACCCTTATACCAGCTTTTCTTCCTGGCTATAAGCACCAAGGACAATGCCTGGCACATAGTAGGCACTCAGTAAATATTTTTTGAATGAAGGAGCACATGAATAAATATGAATATGCATGTCTGAGAAAGCATTCTCCTCCAACATTGGCTGGTTTCATCTGTATAAACACTTATTCCTGTACACCCCTCCTGCCCTGAGAACTGAACTCTGGGAGAAACAGGCTAGAAACATCTGGAGCCTGGCGGGAGGGTGGGAAATGTACGCTTTGATCCTCTCTGTGTCTCAGGGGAGTCAGGCCCACAGGCCTTGTGACTTCAGGCAAAGGATTCCCGGGTTTGTGTCCCCTGGCTCCTGGCCTGCGTGCTGTGAGCCATGGCAGCAATCTGGGCAGTGTCACTGACAGCTTCTCCCGGTGCCCTGTGTCTCTGCAGGCTGCACCCCTCCTTATCCATGTCAGTTCCTTCGCAGCCACCAGCCATAAGAAGAAGCTCTATGTGATTGGGGGAGGGCCCAATGGGAAACTGGCCACGGACAAGACTCAGTGTTACGACCCTTCAACCAATAAGTGGAATTTAAAGTCGACCATGCCAGTAGAGGCTAAATGCATCAATGCAGTGAGTTTCCGGGACCGTATCTATGTGGTTGGTAAGTGAGCACATGGCTTCTTATTTAAGTGTAGGGTCCCCTACACCTGCAGCCCTGCAGGTAGAGCACATGAGACCCTCCTGGGAATTCTTGAGTTTCTGGGTGATGTGGGTGGGGTTGAAAAGAAGAGAAGATGGGATTGGTCCAGGCCTTGGTGGAATTTACCTTGCAGTTCTGGAGACAGAAACAGCCCCCATTTAGGAGACATACAAGACAGATGGACAGTGGTGCCCAGGGGAGGAGCAAGAAATTGCTTTGGGAGCAAAGTGTGTTGTAGGCATTAGCAATGCACAGAAATTGAAATATGCACCGTGTAAGTGCCCAATAAATGGTAGCTATCTTTATTTCTTATTCTGTGTTCATGGGAATTTTATTCTTCCGACTTGCTTTGGGGGCTCTGAACAGTTGCATTTAGCTGGAAGGAAAGCCTGACTAGCCAGACCACAGTTGGCATGTAATTGTTAAGGGTGATGGATCTCAACCCTGACTACTCATTAGAGTCATCTATGGAGCTCTTTCCAAAAATATGGGTAGCTGGGGCTCGTGCAGACCAATAATATCAGAAGGAGAAGGAGGATGCTGGCCACAGTGTCAGGTGTTTTTAATGTGCAGGTGATTTTAATGTACAGCCAGGATTGAGAACGACTGATCAAGGAAATACCAAAAATAAATAAATCCAGCAAATGAGAGCTAATCAGAGAAGGCTTCCTGAATGCAAAATATGGGAACAGATTAAGGCAAAACCCCTTCTCTCCCTTGCTTCAGGTTTCCTGTGTCTTTATGGTCAGACTCGTGACTCTGCCCCAAAGGTCTAATCTCAAGATGGGTAACTTGGGCTGGTGTCCCAGGTCATGCTCAGTCTAGTCACTGCCATGTAGATCAATACAATGCAAGACTCCTATGCACCAGGCCTTCTGCCAGGTGCTTTATGTGCATGGTCCTTCTGATTTCTTATCACCGCCATGGTCTTGGTGCTCATGGTTACAGATCCAAAAGTGGCAGAGCTGGGATTAGGAGCCGGGCCTATCTGATGCACCAGGTGGTATTTCTGCCAGGAAGCAGTCTTTATGGTACATTTTGGCAGCCATGTGAAGACAGGCGTCCTTCAGAACCTGATTAGCACCGGGCTGCAGAGTTTAAAGGGCTATGAAGTGTTTCCAGCATGAGACTTGCTGCCCCTAGTTATCCATTCTGGCTTTCTGGAGAGCAGAGCCGTGAATTTGCTGTTTCTATTGGCAAGATGGTAGACTTGACCTAACCAGGAGTAGGAGTTTAGTGGTTAATGGGGAAGAAAAGCAGAAAACAGTGAGATGCCCACGGTATTTCCTTTCCTCTTCAGGAGGGGCCATGAGAGCGCTGTACGCCTACAGCCCTCTGGAGGACAGCTGGTGCCTGGTGACCCAGCTCAGCCACGAGAGGGCCAGCTGCGGCATCGCGCCCTGCAACAACCGGCTCTACATCACTGGCGGGCGGGACGAGAAGAACGAGGTCATCGCCACGGTGCTGTGCTGGGACCCCGAGGCCCAGAAACTGACGGAGGAGTGCGTCCTGCCCCGGGGGGTGTCGCACCACGGCAGTGTCACCATCAGGAAGTCGTACACCCACATTCGGAGGATCGTGCCTGGAGCTGTGTCGGTCTGACTGCGGGAGCGCGGAGGGCGGAGCCACGCGGGGAGCCCTCCTCCCTCTCCCCCGCATCGGTCGCTCTAAAGCAGCTAGCGGAGCTTGAGTTACAGGCTGTGCATACATCAGGGGCTCACCGCAGCTCCCCATGGCGGCTCCTTGGAAGTCACAGCTTTGGGACTTGAGACCAGCCAGAACTGTCTGTGAGACCTACCTCAGGAGGAAAGAAGAATAATACTTGACATTCAAGACACACCTGTCCCATGCCAGGTTTGATACCGGGCACTTTTGTATACCAATTCCTTTAACCGTCAAATGACCTGGTGACTGGATTTTATTACTCCCATTCTACAGGTGAGAAAACCGAGTTTAAGAGAGGCTAAGTGATTTGCCCCAGGTCAGTCAGATTACAAGTTAGCTAAACCAGGAGTCTAAACCCAGGTCTTCCAATTTCAAAGTTAGTGTAGGTTCTGTCATGTTGTCTATCTCAGAACATGGTAAACACAAAACAGCTCATTTTTGTTCTGACAAGTTTGCTAAAGGATTCACTCAGCAAGGCAGGGAAATAAAGGTGCTTCTTTTTTTCTTTTCTTCTTTCCCTTATATTTAAACCATTTGGGATCTTTGGTGTGGAAACCTTGGGCCCCTTGTCAAGAGCATCTCATAGGTTGTTCCATCTGACAGTTCTGGGGAGACGGGTCTGGGAAGACCTGTTTGCTATGAAAGATGTAAAAGACTTCTGTCCTCCCCTCTATTTTTTATGATCACAGGAGGCCCATTGTGGACTGGAACTGTCATGGCTGGACAGAACTGTACCTTCAGCACAGGCCAGTGCCCTAGCCTCTCAGTGTCCAACAGTTGTATTGCAATGTAGAAAAGGTTTTTGCAGAGACTCAGAATACCGTTTTTTGTTTTTCCAGGGCGGGGGGAGGGTTGTCTTTGGTTTTGTTTCTTCAGTGTAAACATCCTTACATTGCTGGCCACTGCTGAATGACTGGCTCTTCTTGACAGCACACTTTCTACTTTTTAGACAGTGATTTGGGTCCATGTCCCTGTGACCCCACCCTCCTGGAACCTTCGTTTTCAGGATCCTTTTATTCCCTTCTATTTGGTTTTTGGATCAGCTTGGCATAGTTTTGACTCAAAGAACAGTGTCTGTTCTTCACTCTAGGAGATGGAGCTTTCATATGAGCTCACTGGAAATTCATTCTAATCCCCAAATTGGGGACACAGATTAAGAGATCCTGTTTCATGTGCTGTACTTAAAAGGCAGTAACAGGGGCTTCCCTGGTGGCGCAGTGGTTAAGAATACGCCTGTGCAGGGGACGTGGGTTCGAGCCCTGGTCCGGAGACACCCCACATGCCGCGGAGCAGCTAAGCCCGTGCGCCACAACTACTGAAGTCCATGCGCCTAGAGCCCGTGCTCCGCAACAAGAGAAGCCACCGCAATGAGAAGCCCGCGCACTGCAATGAAGAGTAGCCCCCGCTCGCCCCAACTAGAGAAAAAGCCCACGCGCAGCAACGAAGACCCAACGCAGCCAAAAAAAGAACAACAACAACAACAGCAACAACAGTGGTAACAACATAGTAACTGCATTACTTAATGTCCTTTATTTTCATCATATGATTTCAAATCTCTTTAGAGAGTTTTATTTCATGTCAGATGTGCCATTGTGTGCTTGTACTTCTCAGCAGTTTGGGAAGGTATTAACAGTTGATGGTGAATTTAACTTTCATAGAAAAGTTATGGTTAGAAGGAGCTACAGTTCAAAGCATATAAAAAGACCTGGAAAATTACAACTGAGATTTCTATTTATGCTTAGATCATTGAGGATAAATATAAATGCATGTTGGTGTTTGAAAAGCTCTGTGGCTTAGAGTTCAGCTCCTTGCTGTGAAAAGTGAGATGGGAAAATACGAACATATTTGTGGGAATTTAGAACACATACCTCACTTACAAACACTGATAACCTTAATGAAGCTCTCAACTGAAACAATTTAATCTACTTCCATTCAGCAAACATTCCAGGAAATGTTTGTTTGGCAAAGCCTTAGGGACTCCAAAGAGCAAGACCAATCCCCACCCTAGAAACACTCGATAAACAGGTAAACAGGCCACTTGGTCAATATTATAATTTTTCTTTTCATCAAGTTAGAGAAAATGAGACGTGTATGAAGTTATGAGGTTGCATCCAGGTCTTTATTGCCCTTCCAAGTGATCTCCTTGGGAAGCTGTGCTCTTTGGTCAATGATGTGGCCATTGTTTACATATTTGTTTTTCTTTGAGATCGCCTTCAGAAACCACTTCTGGGCTATAGGAGCTATCAGCCGTATTTCAAAGACAACTTCAGGAAAGAACTTTCAAAGAGGAAGTTCAATGACAGCATCATTGGCAATGCAGAGAACCTCCCCTCAAGAAAGAGTGTTCTCTTTGTCCTGGTGGTCCTTTGATAAGAGCAACTGGCAAACTTTGAGCCCAAATTTTCAGCAGGTTAACCCTATGCCGGGAAACTGAGGATTTAGGATCTCTGTGTTATAAATCTGGTTCTCAATGCAAGAGTTCTCAATAACGGCATGGGTTGGCGGACAGAGACACCTACTAAGAAGATCCAGAGTTCTGCACTTGAAGCTGCCAGTCTGTAACTTTTAGGGACATAATGAATTTCAAGTCATTTTTGGGAAACTTTATATCATCAGGATTTAAGTCTCTAGGCAGTAGCCAGGGATGGAATCTCTTAAAATCTAACTTCCATTCTGAGACGAACAAACAAACCAAAATCAAGTTTGCAGGAAGTTAACTCTCATAAGCCGTACTACCAACAGGGGGACGAGGCAGGGTGGTGCCAGATGAGCCAGAGACAAAGGGCCCTGGGACTCAGGCAGGGTGTGTAGGATGTCCTGGCACAGCAGACTGGATCTTGAGGCGGGTCCCATGAGTGGATAGAGTACCCCTGACTGGGAGGAAGAGGATGAGGTAGGAAGAGGAGAAAGTCAGATTTAAGGACACAGGTCTAGAAAATGATGTCAGGGACCCTGGAGTTTGTAAGCACGACTCCATTTTCAAGAAGTGCGAGGGGAGAATAAGGAACCAGGGGTTCCAGGCAAGTGGCTTCCAGGAGGAAGCCCACTTCTCAGAAGTGAGACAAAGTTAGAGCAGGACCAGCCGTCAGACCCATTTGCTGTGCGGCCTCTGAGCTGCTTGGCTGGGTCTCTTATCGTTCTGGACCGAGAGAGTGAGGCCCAGAGGCTCTGATGAGGTGGAATCTGTTGGGGAGGTGAAGGGGTCCCAGTTGCCAAGGCTGATCTGAAATGGATGGGGAGCTAAGCTCACCCAAACATCAACAGATTAAATGTTCTCTTCTTAGCTTTCATCACATTCTGCATACACTGGCTTCAGGAAACACGCAGACACACAGGCACACAGAGCTCTTGAACTGAAAGAAACTGTGCTCTCAGGGAAATGCAAATATTTGCTTATAGCTATGAAAGTGTAGCTTTGCTATTTATAAAAGCCCTTGAGGTACTGCTGTTATTCACTTATCCTACTTGATTTTGAAAAAGAAAGTACTCAGTAAAATTTTCAAAGTGGGTAAACACCACTGGAATTTCTTATATAAAGTCCTAACTTGGGGTTGGAAAATCCTCTTTTCCCTTAGTATCTGATCTGGGTGTTGTATGAGATCTTTTAATTTGCAGAGTCATCCTTCATGGAAATCCACAAATATCTCAAACATGGCTACTGCAAAACCAGTTCTGACAGGTCAGATTTTCATATTTATAGATAAAAATATCAACACTTAGTTAACCAAATCCTTTAAGCATTTTGGTTACATGAAGTTGTATTTTCTTTTTAAGTGATCAAGCTAAAGATATTGTTTATAGGTAAAAATACAAATAAAGTTTTTATTTATTCAATAAAATATGTATGGAGTGGATAAGTATATGTTGTGTACAATCACTGGCTGAATTTTTTTTTTTTTTGCTTGTTTTGGTTGATATGAGTAAGTGGTATCCGAATAGAAATTAATTTAGGAGGGGAAATTTGAAACATTTCGGTTGATTCAAGGGGGTTTAGATAAACTCATAGGCTAAAATTAATCAGATTTGGTTTACAGAACGGCAAAAAAGTAGACAGCTTTTCCCTCCCTAATGCCTCATCGCCACTCCGAGCCAGCATTTACCAATCCGTTTGCAAACTGTGACCCTCATCCTGCCTGGCCTGACACCTTCCCGCAGGAGGCCCCCCTCTAGGTTTCTGGTTTCTGGTCTGACTTGGCAGCCCTGCCTCCACCAATGTCACTGTGTTGTCCCTGAAGCCCTAACTGACCCGTGCTTCTCAAACCAGAGCACGTGGAACTGGACATATGAGCCAGAGAGCTGTGACTCTCAAGCACTGGTAAACGTGTCATCATTTAGTTTGTTTTGGATTTCAATGCAAAGGTCCTATGCAATTGAAAAGGAAAACCTGAGGCTTTAAAGAAATGTGGGGTCACATGAATAGCTTTAGACCATTCCCCCTGTGCCTCCCGAGAGACAGAAGTTCTTGCTTCTCAGTCTTAGGGATTCTGGGCGGACAATCTTGGGAAACACAGCTCCATCTCACTGGTTGGAAGTGCTCTGGAGTTAATCCTGGGCCGTAGATCAGAGAGCCGGTGCACCAGTTGAGAGTCAAAATGGGGTTTTGACCTTAACTTCACTGCTGAGCCCTCCAATTTCCCTGCTGGATCTAAGTGGTAATCTGCTGCCTGGACAGCTTGGCCAGGGCCTGGCATCTGCCTAGCTTTCCTTGGCGCCTCTTCCTGCTCTTGGTGCTCTCTGCTGGTTTGTGGCTTCCCCTGGACCAACCTCCTTCTCCCTGGAGATTTTGCCTTTATATAGGATCTCAGTCCCCATCGCCTCCTCCGGTGGGCTTATGCCTCATTTTCTCTTCCTGTATGCTGCCACAATGAAGATCCTTGGTGATGGGGGCTAATTTGGGTCAGGTCCCACCCACCCCCAAGCTGCCCAGTATCAGCCTGCCTGATGACCAGTCACTCTGGTTTTTCCTTGCACATTCGTTTCTAACACCTGGGGATTTTCCTTTTCTTCTTGCATGCTCAGATGTCTCCTTTGTTATTGATTCCTGCATGCCACCCATGACCTTGACACCCACGCACGCCCCATCCCTGATCATCTGCCTGGGTTCCTTACCTGCTGCCTCTCCTGTGGTCTCCAAACATAGAAACCCCACTACCCTCTTTGTCTTGACCTCTAGCTACCCCAACACCATAGTGTCCCTAGGGCCTCTTGATTTCTCAAGTTTGGAGAAAGAGCAAAAGAGGATATAGGACTTCTTGGCTACAAATTCATTAGGAAGGTTTCTCTGTAAGGAAACTTTCCTGCTCCCTTACTAAAACTAACCCAGTTCCTCCAAGTTTGGTGGTAGAGGGAGAAACTCCCAGTGCGGACAGACAGTTGTATCTTATAATCCCTACTCTTTCTCCTATAAAGGAAGAGTCCTGTACATGACTCTATCTAATTTCCCAAAGGACAGCACAGACCAGGCTGGAACAGTTCAGTGAGACTTTACTGATGACTTAGAGGTGAGATAGGGAAATAAGCACAGAAATAATGCAGTGGATAATGAAGATGACAGGATTCAGCTATTTCTGAGAAGCAGTGTTTGTCCTTAGGAGGGGTGTGTGTGCGTGCATGTGTGTGCGTACATACATGCTGTCAAAGGTAAACAAAGCTGGACATTGGTTAAAGTGGTGCAAACATTTTATTCAGTAACCACTGACAGTAGGGGAACGGGCTGAACCTTACTATGATCTGTGCAGAGGTGACCGGGTGATTTAAAGGGAGGGTGAGGGGTGGGGACTGGGAACCAGTGGGGGCTCAAGTAGAGTCAGGGAAGGGAGAAAGCACAAAGTGTTGGTCATTGTAAATATGATTAAGGCAGCGGCCTCTGCTGGCTGGCAACCATGGAGTTAGATACTCTCTTCCCACAAAACTGGGAGACAGAGGCCCTGTCCTTCCTGATAATTACACTTCAAAAGAATGGCTTCAGGGCCTTGAGAAAGACACGCCTGGGTTGTAGGAGATACATAGATATTTATCTAAAAGGGACAGAGGAAGGATTTACAATTGTAAGCCCTCTTTAGTAA